GGGAAAGAGAGAGAGAGAGAGAATATGGACGAACTTGAGGGGTCCTCGCTCGCTCAGTCGAAGAACGAAGATTCCGACAATGGCGGTAAACGGAGACATTTCTTTTCTGAAATTATAGTTTCTTACGTTTTCTGCACGTTCTTCTTGATTATCTCCTTTCGATTTCAACTTTATTGTGCAGAACTCAGTTCGTGTTTCAATATTGATAAGCGAATCTCTCTGTTTTCGTCCTTTTTGATAGTGATTTCTACCATTTTCTTGTCAGTTTCAGGCCATTTGGCTAATTTCTTAGAAGATATTTGGTTTACAGGAACACCAGTTTGATTTATACTGCCGTTTGTTTGGATCATTTGCCTAGTTTTTCTGCTGTGACTTAGTTCATGAGGTGTTGCAATCAGATTCTTTGCTGATGATCAAGAAATGGTTCATCAGTCACTGCTGAGTAGAAAATGTTAGCTGTGATGACCTTGATTCTTATTTTAACTTGATAATGCAGGCCGACACGGAACAGACAGTGCTGGGGATTCAGATTCAGATTCAGACCCGTGGATCCCGTGGTTCTGCAGCCGTCTTGGAAACGAGTTCTTTTGTCAAGTTGACGTCGATTACATAAAGGACGATTTCAATCGCTTCAATCTGAGCCCTCAAGTCCCGCACTATCGCGATGCTCTCAGTATGATCTTGGATGAGAAACCCGGCGGTAAGTCAGACATAATGCTCTTATAATACACAGTTGCGTTTAGGGGGGGACTTTAGTCGGTTTTGGTTATTTCGGTTTTGGAAAAATCATTACCCGTTCGGTTTTTATGTCGGGTTCAGTCTGGTTTCGGTTACATGTTATTCGATTTCCCATTACAAATAGTCTCATTGAAATGGTTGGAGGTTTGGTTTTACACAGGTGTTGCAATTACAGATGAGCGGGTAAAAAAGGCTGCCAAGAAGCTTTACGGTTTGATTCATGCGAGGTATATACTAACTAAAGAAGGGCTGGATGCCATGGTGAGGTTCTCTCCTCTTTTTCCCCAATTGTGCAGCTATATATATATATACACACACATATACACATGGTGATAAATAAACATGGGGGGAAAACAAATCCATCATTTGAATTTGGTGGTGCAACAGCTGGAGAAGTTCAAGCACTTTGAGTTCGAAAGATGCCCGAGATATTGCTGCTATGGACAAGCCTGCCTTCCTGTTGGCCTGTCGGATCTTCCCGGGAAGAACACCGTGAAGATATATTGTCCGCAGTGCAAAGACATCTACTCTCCGGCGTCTCCGCAGGACAAGTATCGAGCAAGTATCCTTTTTTTTATGGGATGATATTTTTTTTTTTGGTGGGTTTTTTTTTCCCTTAAGAAGAAGAAAAAGGGGTGGATGGAGCGTATTTCGGGACGACATTCGCGCACGTGTTCCTGATGACGTACGAGGAACTGAACCCAAAGAAGGAACCGCAGAGATACATCCCGAGAATCTTCGGATACAAGGTACGGAACCCCTGAAATTCAAAGGTGAAGGTGGTGACAATATATAGGAATCGGGGATATACTAGGATTCGATTATTTCGATTTTAGAAAAAATTATTATATGAAATTTAGTTGGGTCAGTTTTATCCATAAAAATACTCACTTTTTAAAATCAATTATTATTTTTTATTGAATTCGGTTTTTAAAAAGTTATAAACATTCGATTTTATATTAAATTCGGATTTGATTAATCATTATTTGTTATTCTTATTATGTTTGTATCGAAGGTGGAGGTGGTGACAATATATAGGCAGACGATGATATATTAGGATTCGATTGTTTCGATTTTGGAAAAAAATATTATATTAAATTTGTTTGGGTTAGTTTTTTATCCATAAAAATATTCATTTTTTAAAATCAATTATTTTTTATTGAATTTGGTTTTTAAAGAGTTGTAAGCATTCGATTGTTGTATTAATTTCGGATTTGATTAGTGATTATTTGTTATTTGATTAAAGATAAAATGCTGTACATTTAGTTAAAAACAGATGATAAGCTTTATTTTCATAAATCATAATCTTCATTTTCATATGTAATTATTAATTATTCTTTGACGTCTGTTTCATGTCAAACGATGTCGTTTTCAGCGCGGGGCCCCGCAGGAGGGAATTTCGTCTTCTTCGACGGCTTCCAAACGGGGAAGGTAGGGACACGCGTCGGTTAGGTGTACGGAACCATTCTGGATTAAGAGACTAACGGTGTCAAAGGACTTTTCCACTCCTGATATTTACGATTCTGCCCTTCCTTTTGATCGAGAGGATTCCTAATCAAATCTAGTCCTTTAATATAGAGGGTTTTGAAGTTTTTAAAATTTAAAAATAAAAAAAAATTGATAATTAAGTTTTTATAAAAATAGTTTGGCTAAAAATTTGAAAAGTCATTTGCATAATCAATGAAAAATTAAAAAACTCTTTTTTTAGTATACAAAAAAACCAAATCCAAAAACTAAAAACCAAAATTAAAAATTAAATTCAAAAATTAAAAAATAACTATATGATTGAAAAACCGCCTATATAAATATATATATATACAAATTTTTTATTTATGTAAAATTTTACAATTTGAAAGGGTTAATCTTTCTAGTCGCATACACGTCGAATATTATATATATATCAATAACGAGTTTCTATCAAACAAAATCATCCCCAAATATACAAATAAAATCAAAGGGCTTTTTTAAAAAAAAATACAAAAAATTATGAGGCCCGTTCTCGAAAGCTAGTTGCAATTAATGATTGGGGGGAGCCTAGAGCTCTCTTGTCTTTGTCCATTTGGCAAACAAATGGTTTGAAGCACCCAGATTTAACATAAATCAATATGAGTTCTCAACCCCCAAGTTTGAAATAAAATAAAATAGTTGTTGGTCTTTGAAAGGAATATCCTGTTATGTTTGTATGTAAAGGATATGTATTATTATTATTATTATTATTATTATTATTATTATTATTATTATACTTTATGATGCTGATTAGAAGTTGTACCATCACCTATTTCATAGTTTTCGATTTAAATATAAACTAGCAAATTATTTGTTAATTATACGAACAACATGACTATATAATTGTAATTGAATCGAATCCGATATAAAATTGAACGATTATATTTTTTATAAATTTAAAAAAATTAAAATCGAATCGAACCGAATCGATTAAAAAAAAATAACCGAGAAACCGATAATTTTTTTAAAAAAATAATTTTTTTACAATAAAAATACTAAATACAAACCAAATCGGGAAAAAAATAACCGAACCGAAGTTTTTTTATTGAAAACGAATGACTATAATTTTTTTATAACCGAAATAACACAACCGAATTCAAACTAAAATCCGAATTGGCCACACTAATCTTAAATATCATATTACACCAATATTTATCATATTAGACCAATAAAGAATAAAAAAAGGAAATTAGTAGTTGAGTGACGTCCAAGAAAAAGGCTGAAAGAGGACGAGTGGCATATCGGTAAATAGGCTAAACAACGGGGACTGTTTTCGGATCTGTGCCTTGGCTTCAAAACGGAGTTCTTGTTCTTTATTTGTTAAAAACTAGACGCTGTTCCAAGGGACCCAAAATCAAAATCAGAGAAGCACTTTTGATCGCTGGAAACCCTAAATTCTCAAGAACCCTAATTTCCATCGCTCTCTCGATTCTCTCCTCCCAAATTCCATCTTCTCTATGTAAATGCTTCTGAATAAATCATCTGTAGCTGATCGTCGATTTGTCGGAAAAGAACCAGCCGGTTGTTTCTCTTC